ATATATTATCATTCTTAGTTGGATGGTGGCATTTTCATTCTAAGTCAGATTGGTGGTTTGTTCTTCATGCCCGCGCTTGGACGGATCCTCCAGGACTTTTCCCTCGGTTCTGTCTGCTGGATATCTTGGGGCCATCGAAACCAACAATTTTACTGTACAGTTTTGGCCCAGAAAGCTATATATATATATATATTTATAGATATAGATATATAAATGGGATGTTGCTGATTATAAATTCTATAACACCCTATAATTAAGGTTGTATAGTATATATATATATATTTATCATCCCAGTTATAAGTGTTAAGGGCTATAACATGCTATAACCGTATAAGTTTGAAGTTTGAATGCCCATCATATTCACATGAAGATCTACAATTTATCATCATATTCATCATCATGATCATGATCATCATCGTTGTCGTCGTCGTCATCATCATCATCATTATCATCATCATCATCATTATCATCATATCATCGGTCACCACTCCCACCCTACACCTATGGCCTTTTACCAGTTGTAAGTCAGTTATAGCCCCATTTTATGGAATGATAACCCCATCTAGAACCATAAAGATCACTGGCTTTAGGGCTTCAACTGTACGATGACAACCCGGTTGAACCGCAGTGTCTTTGCTCACAGGATGCTTTCTTCCTGTACCTTGAATTGAAGATGGACTCGGGGGACACGACCTGAGTAAGATCAACCCGGAAAAATCGGTGGTTGATGATTACAGAGGGGCACACTTAAGGCCCTTTACCTAGCCCTAGCCTTTTCTTATGGATTGTAACTGACTTAAAACTGCAGAAGGGTCACACAACCTCTTTACAGTGGGGATAGTTGTGACTCACCTATCAAGCAATCAGGATTTCTTGGGAGAGGATCAGGTTATTTTTTCACGTGTCATGCGTTTTAATGAGCTTGGATGCTAAATGTAACACCTGATAGGGAGCAACGATGGATTATGATGGATTGGTAGATGGATTGGTTATGGTGAAATTTGATACCGCAGAAGATGTTCATTGTAAGACAACGTTACATGCTGCGGCTGATGGTGTCATAGCCCACTTTATTGTTCCCTGGTAAAGCCCTTTGCCCCTGACTGTCGCTGCTGTATCCAACTCATGGTGAAAATATCCCAGCCCCAAATCCATTGGTTGTGTTGTCCGTTGATGTTTCCTATATTCTTAAAATATCTTAAAATGGCCATAAGTCTACCCCGTTCACCCAGAAAACCATGACATCCCCATATATAACTCGCAGAAACCAAGGCCTTCTCAGTGAATTTGCGTACGGTCTTTGGAGCCTTGGGGTCCTCCAAATTCTCTCTCTTCCAGTCACTTGGCATGGAATGATGGATGGCTGGGCTGCAGCGGATGATAGAAGTCGTTGTTTTTTACAACGGATGGTGGCTAAGGAAGTTAGTTCGTTGTTGGAAATATAAGTAGGTCTAGGATTTATGGTAGATCCTAATGTTTTGAAGGGGTTCCAGCTTCCAACTCAGTTGCTGCACTAATCCAAGGTCTTAAAACTTCCAGGATTATCCGATTTGGAGATGGCAAAGCAGTTCTTGCTTGGATTGTAACGTAGAAAATTAAAGGAGTATGGTCTTATTCAATGCTAACTTGAACTGTTTTAGATTACTTAAAAGAGATTTGGATTCCAATCGCTATTAGTTTCGATGTTGGTGTCAGTACTTAGCTGCCTGACACCACCATTTCCTCCATGATGGAGAGGTTCTGACCATTGGCCGGGAGATCATCGATTTTCCCTCAATGCCGGCTTAATGAGGCCCTACTTTAACTACTTGTGGGGTCCATGGAGAAAGGGAAATATTATATAATATTACTATTTGGGGAATTTTGGGAATCCCCCATATTTATAAATTTCATGCCGGGTTTAGCATTACTGTATATTCAATGGTCCCAAAGAAATGTGAACATCATGATTCACCAGTAAATTCGTCGGTGTCGGTCTCGTGAACAGTGAAGCTGTTTGACTATCCTGGAGCAGTGAAGGTATGGTTATATCAGGTTGTATCCATAATATATCAAATTCATTCGAATTCCCTATTTTGCATTGGGAGCCTCATGGAGCTCGGAATGAAGCTTCCGAATCACATGATAGTTGAAGTCCTGGTGTATTCATCAGGGTTGTCATGTGAAAAGTTGTGCAGTACATTGCAGTACCACCTACGAATGATGCAGAGGTCAACGAAGTCAGTGTGAATTTTGGCTACAATACGTAGATGGGCCATGAATTTCATTTGATCTCCCAACTGGATGTCCATGTGCCCACTTTTTTATCTCGGGTTTGTGGCATGGAGCTATTTAACTTCCAATGAAAAGTATGTGTTGGTTTCTCGGGAGCACCAGGCACCAACTAAGAACCCCACTGCCCAACTACGGCTCCTGGTGAGGTTTGCATACAGCCTTCCCAGTTTCGCTGAGCATCCCCGGTCCTTCGCCTCTTTGTTCAACCAGGCACCGTAGGGGTCTGCCTTGGACAACACGGGAGCTAGTGCCCCCTTATTTCGTGAGAGAAGTTGGGGTGTCTTCCAATCTAAGTAAGTATTTATAGTTTTGAAACATAAGTTCTGTCCGCTGGTTTGATGAACTTAAACATATATATGTTGTTATAAGTTATAACTATTGAGCATGGTTAAATATGAATGACTTCTACCTATTGTACTTTCAGGTGTGGAACAAAATAACTCATACTAGGAGCACCATCTCGCGATGATGATGCAGGTGTTCAACGCGACACCATACTTCAGCATGACCAAACCCAAAAAACGTGGCTATAACTTTGGCAATTCACCAGCAATCATCGAGTACAGCAACCAAAATCGATAGAACAGTGGGAAATGTGGACATATGTATCTTATTCTATTTTTATGTATAGCTTCCTAAAAGCACTTGTTCCCCACTTGCCAGGTGAGGGTTGTTAGATTTTATCAGAGTTGTTCTCCTCCTCCTCCTCGGCTAGCTGTCCTCCTCCTCGTCCTCGTCCTCGTCCTCCTCCTCCTCTAGTTTCTCCTCGACCATGTATGCATCAACTTCCACCTCCACTTCCGCCTTGCCAACTCTTCGCCAAGCTCTTTGCCAACTCTCTTCGCCAAGCTCTTTGCCAACTTCCCAGCTCAGTGTGCACCGCTGGACCTCAACCTGGGACCTGCCCAGCTCAGTGTGCACCGCTGGACCTCAACGGCCAGATAGAATGCCAGAAGATATGCCAGAAGATATGCCAGATAGAATGCCGGAAGATTTGCCAGATAATATGCCAGAAGATATGCCAGATAGAATGCCAGAAGATTAGCCAGATAGAATGCCAGAAGATATGCCAGAAGATATGCCAGAACATATGCCAGAAGATATGCCAGATAGAATGCCAGAAGATTTGCCAGATAATATGCCAGAAGATATGCCAGATAGAATGCCAGAAGATATGCCAGATAGAATGCCAGAAGATATGCCAGATAGAATGCCAGAAGATATGCCAGAACATATGCCAGAAGATTTGCCAGATAGAATGCCAGATAGCATGCCAGAAGATATGTCAGATAGCATGCCAGAAGATTTGCCAGTAAGAAAATGTATAAATGTCATGGTGGGGATCACACGAAGTAAAGTATTTTTTATCTGTTGGGGCTTGCCATCCATATATTCCAAGAATTTTCCGGGCAGTGATTGCAAAATATGTAACAAGCACGTCCATCAGTCCATCAGTGAAAAAACCGTCAAATGATGTACCCTCTGGTAAAGTAACATAGACCCTGAAAATCACCAATTTTTAGAGGAAACTAATCTTCCAACCCCTATCTACCAGGGTCTATGTTAATTTACTGGAGGGTATCATGGCCTTTTCTTGCCATGAAAAAACACCAGACGCATGTGCCCAGAATGCCCAGACGAAGTGATGACGTAGCTATACAAAAGTAACAGACAGGAAGGTTATTTGACGTAACTATAGAAAATCAGCATTTCTAAAAGGTAAATCATCATAAGTCATTATAGCTATGTTAAATAGCCAGAGGGCACACTTCAACAAAAAATAGTATGCTTACTATCATTAAACTGACTTAACCCGGAAGTCACAGTATACAAAAACCCTGGCTAGCCATTTCCAAGGTAGCCAGGGTGTTTGTGTGCAAGGCTAGGGCGATTCTTGAAAAGTTCTTTGACTCTTAGATTGCTACTTAATGTGTTCATATCACACTCCTGAGAAGGTACTCACCCCCCAGTCATCATACCCCAGTCACACCTCCTAAGAAGGTACGGCTGGATCTAAAGGGTTGGTCTGTTTCGTTGATTGATGACTTCCCCAATGTGCTTGATGAGAAATTCTTCTTCGTCACAGCAACCTGACTTTTTGAGGTGACCTTCATGGTTTTTGCGCTGGGTGTGCGGTGACCCAGACGCCAAGACATGATGATTAATGTTAATGTTTTCCTAGCAGTTGGTAAACTACCCCCCAAGATGATAGGTTTGTTCCTTTCCCGTGATGTGTGTTATTCATGATCTTGAGCCCTGTAGTTCCCAGCAGCTGGATATGTCTGAGAGGTAAATTAAAAGGGATAAACCATATCATTAAGGGGCATCCTGTGCGAATGATACTGTAGTCAGGAATGATTACTAGCAACTGGGCTGTGGTATAACCCTCTGAAGCAGATTTTTAAAGATTGGTTGCAACCTGTTTGGTAATAATCGTTTACTCATGTTGACTGACCAAGCAAATTTTGAGCACCTGATTATCTGATTTCCAACTGCAGATTCAAAATCACCCGGATCAAAGACAATGCGTTTGAACAGAGTGTCATCAACAGTTCACATAGTTGAAACATGATTTTACTGCAAAATATCAACTTGCACGGCTCTGTAAAGCGATGCACAGTGTTTAAACACATCTTAAACACAGGCAAAGCTGAATTATTCTTTGTCCTTCATCTTTCAATCGAATGGCTTTGGTCGCATTTCAATTTCACGGGCTTTCTCCAGACATGTCGCCATCTCGGATTGGAGATGTCGCCGTCATTCGATGCCAAAGAACATGTGTTGGAAAAGTTCCCAGTGCTGGGCACGGAGGTGTCCGTGTAGCCGGACACCCGTACGATGGTCTTCCAGCGGCCCACTGTGTTGAAGAACTTCTTTTTGAACAGGTCCAACCCTCAAGGACTCAAATCCTCCCTGGCGGGGTGGGGAGTTTCGATACGTCCATGCATTTGCTCATTATGTGTCGCTGGTGTCGCTGGAGCCTAAGGTCTAACATCTTGACTCCGTGGCTCACCAACATGTTCCACTGCCAGCAACATACGGCAACCATGCCAGGGATTGTTGGTGAAAACACACAACCAGAGTTTTGACGCCCACAGTTTTTTTTTTACAGTCATAAGTTATAACAGTCAAAGCTGGGACGATAATGATATATAACCCCAGTTATAGGAGTTATAATCCCATATTTATAACTTTTAAGGGCCACAACTGTAACATCTGTTGCAAGCTCAACGTCTAAGTTTTTGTACGGTAAACTTTCACCTGAAAAGTGCCATGGGTCCCAAGTGTCATTTCTAGCATGATGCCATAGCGTCAAAGTCAACAAATAGATTCTGCGTGACCATCCCCAAATAGACGATGTTCTCATGGGATGTGAACCGCGAAGTACCAGGGTTTTGACAATCATTAGATCCATCCCCAATTTCCTAAAAGTTAGTCTAACCTGGCAAAACTCTGGTTAAAACTTCTATTTTTCTAGTCAGCCATGCTTGCGAATCTGTTTGACCATGTGTCTGAAGTTGAGATCCCATAGTTCTTGTTGGCTCAACCAACATTTGTGTGGATCAAATTGCAATGTTTGACGCACTTTCCACAAGCTGATGGGTGCAAGTTGGTGAACATAACTAGGGTGAAGTCTGGTTTACGGTAGACATTTCCATAATAACATAGATCACCTACAGTTATAGCCCTTAACAGTTACAAGTTATAACTGGGATCTTATAATGATACAGTACAACCTTAGTTCTAGGAGTTATGATCAATTTTCTAACTGTTTTTTGGGCCATAACTGTATAAAATCCAAATTTCAACATGTTTTTTCGGTTCCCTTTACTACCGCTGGGGGGTGCTGATTTTCCCAGGTTAATTTCCTTCAACTTCTGCTGCTGCTCCTCCTGTGGTACCAGCTGGTGCCCCGCCGCATCAACCGCCGCGTCAACGTGTCGCCAGGGGCCCAGTCATCACAGTGGAAAAAAATGGTGCATTACTCTCCGGTAATTTAACATAGCTATTGATTTTTGCCAATTTATAAGTGATTTACCCATTAAAATGATGATTTTCCCTAATTATATTAGTTTACCAGAGGGTATACTTGGATGTATATCCCAGAAAGTGGTTTATAAACCCGATACAGCTGGAGATATCCATATCGAACTGGGGTATTACATAGTGTCATATGGTTAAGTTATATCGACATATATCGGCTGAAGTGCCCAAATAGGAACACCTCGAAAATATAGCCCCCATAAAGATAGACAAGTTGTTGTCTATCTTTCTGCAGGATGCTAAAGATCATGTCTTTTTTTCTGAGTTGGATGAAGTTGGACTTTCCATAATGGGGTGGATGCAAATGACAATCATTTTGTGAATTTTATTTATATATATAATTATATATATATATATATTATATTATATATATTATAGAATACATATTTATACAATACACACATATATATATATACTTATTTTCTGAATATGGTTTGTTATGCACTTGGGCAGTTTGTGGCAACCTCACTAGTCCACTTCATCGTAATTTTACTGTAGACTCTTTTGTTTCGCAATGAAATTGTTTGTTTAGTTGCGTTGAATTAAGGGAACGTATCAGCGACTCCTAGCTATGGTCCTATTTTCTGGTGGCAACCTTGATTTCCTGTCAATTTGTCCATCGATCCATTGAGCACCATGATTTTTTCAATTTTGAGTGATTCACCAAATTGATGGTGAAGGAAGAAGTGGGGGAAAAATATGGTGATCTTTTCTTTTCACAAGTGATTCACCAATGGGCCCATCAATGGACGGCAACAACGTGTCGCAACAAGGGCGGTGGTGCATTGCTTGGGTGCGTGGGCAGCAATGGATGTGGCCCTCATCAGTGTCTTTGGAGCAGACGGGGTCGTTTCATGTGGGAACCAAAGGAATACCATAGGAACACCACAGGATTTAAGCCCATATTACCAGTACTAAATGGTTAAACCAATGGGCTTATCATTCCATAAATGGGGTTATAGCTGGTTTATAACTGGTATTTTGGTGCATAAGTGTGGCATTTACACAATTTTTCGTTGATATAATGATATAATGTGGGAAATGCGATGATAAACCTACCATTTGGGGATGGTTTGTACGACCCATTGATGGTGATTTGGAGCATATGGTGTATTGTTTAGGGTTTACCACATTAACCATTGACTTCAGTAAACAAAAAAAACGGTGATATATGGTGATTCAACGATGAAACATGGAAAGTGTAACAGTGGGTTGATTGATATAAAGAGGTGATAACACGCAGGAATCTGAATATATACGTATATATATATAATTAATGAAACAACTGTATTGGGGTGTGGCTGAGGTGGTGTTGATGGGTACAACCATGACGCTGTAATTAACCACCACAAGTTCGGGATATGCGTCCCCGTCCCCTGTGTCTGGTTGGGATTTTGATCGGTAGACATGACTTTTTGTTGATGCGTATCAAAATCAACATTTACCAAACGGTTATGCCACGGTTATGCCCATATGCTCCATGGTGCTGGAATATGAATCCCAACATTTGCCCCATAAATGACCCTTTTTTGTAGGTAAATATACCAGCACCATGGAGCATATGGGATGGTATACAGTATACATATTAGATTAGTCTTTCTGGCTCTGATATCACCACGAATGGTCCTATTTTTCTGGAGGATTTGACTGGTGATAGCTGCAGGGTGGACACCGTTCTGTCACCTTTTGAGTTCTGCAGCTGTTTATGAAGAAGCTATGGATGAAACACAGGCCAGCAAGGCCTTGAGGCTGGCGATCAAGTCAGCCATGCAATGAGACAAAGAAAGAAAGAGAACAAGGACAATGAATATGTTGAAATTCTGCAACCTGCAGCTAAATCCTGGTTTAATATGGTTTCATTAGGTTCAGATATTTTGATAGTGGCCCTTTCGTGGCTCAATTTTATCACGCCAGATGCAAACTCAAAAATCACGTTCAGGATCCTGACAAAAATGATGGCGGGCCGCTCAGCGGCCTGGGTTGGCAGCTTCCATTTGGCTAGAAACCATCAATGACTTCCTGAGAAGGTAGTTGACATTAGTTGACTCCACAAACATTGCCTCAGAATTACTGAAATTACTGTTGGAGACTTCTGGCCTATCTCAGAGATATCAAATCACCATGAATTTCTGTTGGAAAACTCACCAAATAAATGGCCATTTTCAACTCACCAAACTGTTAGTCAGAGGGTATCTGGATCCACAGGGACCACGACGCGAAAGCTCCGCTGGGATCGGCGCCATGATGGTTTTAGAGTTAGGTCGTTTGACCGCGCACGCGCGTGCCTCGCAATTTCAGCAGGTGGGATGGGGGTGAAAATGGATCAGTTTTTGCTTGGGTTCTTTGATTGGGGGGGTGATTGATACAATGTGGGGCCCCCGAGTGATGTTTGTTGGTTTATGAACCCCAGTAACTATAGATATGAGTACCATAAACATTAGTTACTGGAGTTATAAACCAACTTAGCTATCTAGGGGGCCCGACATTGATAGGATAAATATGCATAAATATGAAACATGTACCGATGCGGTTTCAAAGACTGAGACAAGACATGAGGCAAAGCGATAGAAACACATAATTCGGGGTGCAGTTGGCTTGTTTTGATGGATGTAAGGTTATCACCCTTGTGTACTTTGTAACAACCACTTCTTCTTTGTTTTTTGATATGACTTGACTTCAAAAGGCCTTTACTGGTATCTATCACAAGTCAGCTAGCTGAAGTCTTGGCACAATTCTGAGTGCAATTCCCAAAAATCCTTAGAACTGTTCATGAAATTTATACATATTATAACTTATATACAACATACATTCATCACATGTCATCACATATTCATCACTAAATATCATGAATCCCTAGTGTTCGTCATCATTTTCATCATCCAGTGATAGCTCCATCGTTTTCATCGCCAGGCAGATGGCTGGGTGAAGGACACGGTGCAGTTCTTCTTCAACGGCTGCAAGACGGAGGCGCAGAAGGGCCTGGTGCCTTGGTGCCGCGGGACAGCCGGACAGCCGGACATCTGACCCGGCCTGGTAAACATAGGAAAACACCATGGAAAATCACCATGTTTAATGGGTAAATCATGGAAATTCACCAGGTTTAATGGGTAAATCATGGTAAAACCATGGAATTTCACCATGTTATAGCTGGGTAAATCAACTATTTAACTATGGACCATTGAACATATGGCCTCAAATAGCCTCCAATGTCGTCAATTTTCATGGATCTTCATGTTCTTTTTTTAAATGATAACTAAGTCTTGACATGTTGTTGGCCATGAAATCATAGCGATAATTCATGGCCTGAAATGCAATAGTTTTTTTTTTTAGAGAGAGAGATAACTATTATATTGCCTCTTGGTAGATGACTACCTGGTATAGTTATACTACCATATACTAACTGGTATAGTCATATTGGTAGTTTAGTGATAACTACAATCTACCATATATAACTGATATACATATATATATATATACTACCTGGTAGATTGGGAGATGATGAAGGTCGGCTCTTTGACTTGTTTCTATTTTTCTCGTGGTCTGAAATTTTAGAGCTGCATCTCTGGCTGTAGTTTCATACTTCAGAAATCCTGGCAGATGCTTGGATGATCCTTAAAATTTCGATGGTGACTCGATCATGTCACAAAGGAATGACCAGTCTGGCAAGGAATAACATGGGTAATTATAGACAATGATCCATTTATAGATTACTAAACATGGTGACCTTCCATAGCGATGTAAATGACCAGAGGCTGTTCACCAAGTAGTACAGCACCCCGCCAGCAAAATATGGCCTTTTGAAGCGGTTGTTGTAGCCACAATCAAGCCTTGCTAAGGGCTTCTTAAATTACTATGGTTGGTTGGGTTACCCTTCGCCATCAACTCAACCCCCATTTTGTTCTGATCCAAGCATATCGATATCAATACATTTATAGCAAGCTCCATTTTCTTGATGGTAACACTCGTCTTAGACTCTTATTTGCCAGTTTTTAACCATAGAATCTGATTATAGGTCAGTAACTGCCAGAACTCTTCCTGATAGTTGGTATGAACATGTATAAACCACCTTTGCCAAAAGGGTATCCCCAAAATGTATGGTTTATCACCAAGCAACCCCAAAATAGATGCCAAAAAGTGAGACATCTGAAAATATGTCTAGTAAATATCATCGACCTAACATCTTTTTGTAACACGTTTTGGCATCTTTTTTCAGGGCGTCCTTTTTTATTATAGGTGTTGATTCATCCCCAGATTCCAGCGGTATGAACTAACTTATCCACTAGGTCACTACGCTATCCCCAACATTTTATGGTTCATGTTTATGGTTCACCATGCCCAGGACAGCTTCACCTTGCGCTCGCTTCCGATCCCTGAGATTGGGCCCTGCATCAGCGCCGTGCCGAAAACGGCTGTGGTGCATCCAAGAAGTTTTCTCTTGTTTTGCTGGATCACATATATATATATATATTATATATAATTATATATAATTATATATATAAATACACTATGTGGATCCAGACTCCTGAGAAGGTACGGCTAGCCCCCCAAAGCATACCCCAAACACATCCCAAGAAGCTCCGGCTGGATCGGGATCAGATGGCGCCAGACTTACCCAGGTGTGGATCAGATCGCGGACACCTTAAAGGCCAAACTGGACACTATGGGTTTTGCCAGTTGTGAGGTCAAGTGCCTTGTAGCAAAGGTGTTGACTTAGCAGTGACCACAAGCCCTGTTGATTACAATCGTTTGTTGATTGATTGTTGCTGAATTATTCTATTGTTTCTTTGGGGGGAATGGTTGATTCGGTTGATTGTGCTTTTCATCCAGTGTTGATACGATATCTGGTGTAACTGTTGGCTGTGACATCAGCCATGATCGACGAAAATCAACGATGAAATCCAAACAGCCAATAAGGGTGATATGATGAAATCAGTTATAATGGCAGAGCAATGAGGATATATATATATATATATACTGATATATATATATATACACATACAAGGTGGTGCCCCATAGTTAGATAAGTTGGTTTATAACTCCCATAACTATGGTTTATGGCAGATATAACTATAGTATTCATGGGGTTTAGAAACCAACAAACATCACTGGGGGGGGCAACCATCCTGTATACACATATGTCATATACATATATATATATATATAATCTGGGCCCCTAAGTTGATCGGTATGTCTTCGGACTTATGACCATATAGAATTGTCCATGGTTTGTAGGTCAGAGATTTTTCGAATTTGGGGACTGATCACAAGGGTCACTCAGCCACTTAGCCAGTTGGTTTTAACAGCCAGGTTTAGAAAATGTTTTTTTGGTAGATACCCTCTTGTTGTTTAAGATAATACCTATTTTTTCAAAGGTAAATTATCACAAACCATCTATACATGGGCCATTGTCCACCGCTATGCCAAAACAAAACAGAGGGTATGTCTATAGTTGGATTGGATCACATTGGATCACATATGACTGGGGGGGGCGCACATCGAATCCGTGGGGAACTCATATCTGGTTGGTGGTGACTGGAACCACGGATTTTTATGTCTATTGGGAATAGGAACCCCAAGTGACGAAGACAGTCCATCATTTTTCAGAGGGGTAGGTATTCCATGGTATACCACCACCAGATATCCAAGTCTGAAGAATTTGAAATGAGCAAGAACTTTGGGGTGCCGCTTTGCGGTGTTGGAATCAAGGGGCTTGAGTTGGAATCTGTACAACCCTGACCGCACCAGGTGATATGAGGTGACTCAACGCGGCAGAACGGAAAACACTAGCGGATTTCTTTCTGTTCGACAATGATGTGGAACCCCGAAACATGGAATCTTGCTCAGGAGGGAAACCTGATATCCACATTTTGAAGCAATATAGATATATAATATTATATAATCAAGTGTGTCAAAAACAAATCTATATATCTGTGTTTTTTTTCCCGTGGCACCTCAGTTAATTGGCTTGGAGATCTGGTACTGGGTACCAGTTTGACTGAGGCACTACTACGACTTCCAACAACATGCAGTTCTGTGCACCTTGCATGCTAGCTGGCATGTAGTTGCTCGGCTTTAAAGACCCTTGCCCTTGTACCTGCCAAGATTCACTGTTACACTGGGCCCAGGGGGAAATGAAATACAGGATGCCACAACTTATTATAGAACCACGCAATATGGGTCTTGGTCAAAAGCGAACCATCCTAGTCTTGGGCGCCCCAATAAATGGTGGGTGCAATCCATTGGCTACGGAAACTTCGACAGATCCAGCCACAACCGGCGTTGGGAAGCGTAATATGGATCCCCAAAATGGTCAGAGATTAAGGAAATCACACTTGGGCTTGCTGTTGGGGGCTAGACATGAGTACAACCAGGGTGAATTCATTCATAGCTATGGTGCATCACTATTCATTCTTGAACTGGATTTGCACCCCAAAATTGAATTATATACATATTAAATTTAAATACTGTATCATTCATGATGATATCATCATTGAATCATCCCAATAATGGGAAGTCTATGTCTCCATCTCGGCCATGCGATGGATTTCGAATTTCAGATTTTCGGAAAAAAGGATCTCCACCCAACTGATGGCTCAATGACTTCTGGATGGTAATTTACGAAAGTCAACTTGTTGCTACCACTGGAAGTAGTTCGAAAATGTTTGCCCAGTACATCCGCACGTTCTTCTGAAGATCTCCATGTTTTATTGGTCGGATCTCAAATTGTTGAGAGGTAATTTCTAATCTTCACCCGTTGAATCACTAAAGTTTATATATATATAATTCTTGTATATACATATACATATATATATATATATAATTCTTGGATTGCCAAGTGTCACCGCTCAAACCACCATTCGTTACCGGTAAAATCAAATATTGTGCCGCTAAAACCAGCATTTTTACCAATATGATCTAGATAGAAGAAAGTCCAAGCCACCAAATTTGGCTGGCAAAACATTGTAAACCCATGAAAAAGCTAATTTTTTATACATGTTATGATATATATTTTTTTTTGTTTTGCCGGTCAAACCCAGGATTTTTGGTGTGTCGGTCCCTCTAGGTGGACACCCCAGCGCCGCCGCCGAGCACTGGGGGATGCTCCAACACCTGTCCCATCTGCCAGGAGATACGACCGGAAACTCGGCTGGAAATTGGTGGGGGTTCATCATGATCACCATGGTTTCACCAATAAACATGATGGGATTCTATGGGATTTATATGGATTTATGATGATTTATGATGAATTTTGGGATAAATCTATGGTTTCAAGATGTTTCAAGGGGATCTATCGAACTACTATTCATAAGGTGAAAATAAGCCAAACTAGATGATATCACAATGATTTAACGCATCATCATATGCTGGGATTTATAGATCCGCCATGGGATTTTTAATGTATTGCAGTGGAATTTACCCTCTGGTTATGACTAACATAGCCATGGAAAATGGCCCATTTATAGATGGTTTACCTATTAAAAATTGTGACTTTCCATGGCTATGTTAAATAACCAGAGGGTAATTAATGTTGATTATTAATGTTGTGTTGCAGTGAATTATCAATTGACATTTGATTTACCCTTTGGTTTTATCAAGTACGCGGCTAGAAACGGGAGATCCGCGAGCTCAATTCGAAGGTTTATAGCTTGGAAAATCACCAAACGCAATACCCTCTGGTAAACTAACATAGCTATGGAAAATCACTATTTTTAATGTATGGGTAAATCCACTATAAATGGCAATGTTCAATAGCTATGTTAGGTTACCAGAGGGTATATTGATGATTTTCCATCAAGCAATGTTTCATCACCGGAGGGTAAGCAGTAGAGAAGATTAATTTATGCTATATATCTATGTATATACATATATATATATATTTATACGTATATGTATATATATATACATATATATATATACATAACTATGCGCCCAGGGGATGTATATCTATACTATTCAAGGGGTGAAAAGAAGCCAGCTTTTTTTGGTTTGAATAACTATCTAGTGGTGACCGGATGGAGAAAAGATGAGAAAAGGAGCTAAAGGTTTTCATATTCCGTACTCAATGGGGAGCCAAGGAGCTATTAAGAGTTTCCACATGATAGTAATGAACTGTAGTGACTTTAGTGGCCTTAGCCTCAAAAATTAGGGTATCAAGTATCAACACCAATTCGGATTTATATGCATGGCGGTTCCCAGCCATTCCCTTACAGTAGATCTTTAGCCTTATTTTTTTTTAATTAAAAAAATGTTGAATATACATAGCCACTAGAAGTTCAGCTGCATGGGAGCTGGGAACCCACCAAGGGCACAGGTGACTCTGGGATTTCATTTGCTAGGTGGTGGTGCTTGTACCTTGTGGTCACACGCTTTGCATCTGGGCGAGCCGTGTTGGTTGCCTTTTTGTGTGTTTTGGTTCTGGGCTGTGTCACCAGAAATTTTGGACCCCCGATATTGAAGACCACATTGGGAAACCTTCATTTAATATCGGATCTGTTCTTTGTGGGATTGCTTTAACGGAGGTATTTGATAGGGAGATCGGATTAACATCTCTGCAGATCCCCGCCGGGTCAAAATCACCAACCCTAGAATGAATGGAGTTCCTGTTTTGACCCATAGCTATATTCATGGAGGTTGGACAGATATTCACAAGGCGATAAATAATGCCAATAACAATTATTATGTATATATATATAGAGGGAGAGTTTGGTTGACCCTATAGGTATACAGTAGGTTACATAAATGCTGGGTCTATGGTAGATTTGTTACTAATGTTAGTAAAGCATTGTCATAAACCAGCCATTTTTCGATTGATGGATTACGTGTAGCAGCCATAGAAATGGTCAGTCATTGGGGATGGTGTATCCTTTTGCTTTACTTATAAATTGACTATTATGTTAACTTTACTATTGGTAAAACCCATGAACTATCATGGTGCGAAAATGTGCATTTAGGTCACATAAATGTTGGGTCTATGATAGGTAATATTTACCCTCTGGTAATATGGCATAGCTATAGAAAAAGGCTGATTTATAGTTGATTTACCTATTTAAAAAAAAAGTCATGTTCTATAGCTAAATTAGTTTACCAGAGGGTAACGAATTTGCTTGGCTTTTATGAAACAACAATCATATCAGAGGGCAGCACTTTTTATAACCTAAAGCGGAACATTTCCACCAAGGCAGCACCTGCCAAGGGAACTTGCAGTCGTGTCCGTTCTGCCGTTTCTTGGAAGCTTTGGGTTGCAGGGAATGGTGGCCGGGCATTTGAGATTCTTGAAATTATATATATATATAATATATATAATATATATATAATATAATATTATAATATGATAAAATATGATATAATACGATATAATATGATATGATTTAATACGTATATAATATTAAATGTTTTTAATAATGATATATATATATAATATGTATATATGTTTGTAATTTATATATAATGTTATATATATATATATGTATATAGAATGATATATATATATATTATAGATAATGATATATAATATATATATAATATAATATATAACATGTATTATATATTATATTATATATATTGTACATATTATATGTATTATATAATATATATATATTATATAATACATATAATATGTACAATATATATATATAATAATTAAAAGTATTGTATATATAATATTATATTTAATATATATAATTTAATAGTAATATTTATATATATATTATTATTATATATTTAATATATATAATCTAATGATAATATATATATATATTATATCATAAATATATATATATATTGTATCATATATATATATATTATATCATATATATATATATAGTATAATATTTATAATATAGTAATATACAACTACACGTACATATGAATGTAACTATGTATACGTTTTTCCCATCCCTAGTGTAGTAGATGGACTTGGATGAGCATCTGAAGAATCTGAAGTGAGTTTGACTGATGCTTCAAAAAACCAGGGGACAAATGTGTTTTTGACGCTGCCCTCAATAGATATAGAACTTAAAAAGCTGCCGAAATTCGCTGAAGATCATGTGCAATATCTTGGAAAAACAAACTCTTCTGATTGATCTGATTGGCAGCTGTATGTTGTTTCTTGTCCATACTTGTGATGATCCGTATTTCGAAGGGTGACAATACCACAGTCTCACCATCATTCACCATCCATATTTTGCAGAAACACTTGACCAGCACATTGTAAACTATGTGCTGGAACGGATTAGGGGATCAGGGTCCATTGACAACCCCCTTTTGCAATCAGAATCCCACCACAGAAGGTGATTTAGGTCGGTTTTGAGGGTCTACATTTCTTCTCAGAAGATGTTTGGAAGCCTAGGGACAACATGCGAGCCATTGTCAGGGGCGTAGCAAAGGGATCCTTGTGACCGCATTGTCGAGACCTCTTTTGTTATGATTTGCAACTCTATTGTTCTGCAGCGTGTTTGAAATTATACAATATTATATATATATATATACACATGGGCTTAACATATACGAAATATACATAGATACATGTAAGTATCTTGTGGTTACCCAAGAATATAGAACCGTTTTTTTGTTGATATTTTAGCATCAGACTTTCCACAAGCACCAAGAGGTTCCCCGATCACGACGAGCACCAACGGCCTCTTCATGGATTGAGGCGGATCTGGAGAAAAAATCATGAAACCTCTTCAGTTATGGCCCAACTAACGGTTATAACTGGGATGAGTTATAACTCCTATAACTAGTTGGTTATATATCATGAACTAATCCCATTTATAACTGTTACTTGGGCCATGGCCATCACTGTATATGAATTTCTGGTTCGGTCCACGATCCAACAAAAATCAATGCTGCCAAAATGGAGGGATCCAACCGGGATGCCATGCATATCAACAACACCGGGGATGTAGACGCAGCCATTTGATTGATGCGGATATCATGCGATATTGTGTGTACCTAAATAATTCAATATATATATATATATATTATGTTTTAAAAACCAAGCATACACTAATACACATGATGTGCATATATATATATACTGTATATATATATATATACAAAGAAAAATGCATACAGTATTTAACATGTGAATTTAACCCGCAAAAGCGGTGATTCAACTATGCCACAAAACACTTGGATTTTACCAATGAAAAGCAGACATGGGTAGATTTGACCAATGAATAATTGAAGTGGGTGAGTCTCCAATGTGGCATACTCCCAGTTTATAGCAATGTTTCATGGGAAATATGTGAGGTCTAAGAGCATTGGGAATGGGCTACTTGTCTTGTTTAGACGAATGTCTAAGTATTGAACCATTCAGATCCAAGTACGTCCTCAGAAGGTACTTATAGGGTATGTTCCGGGGGTCAACTGCCTTTTTCATATTTGTAGGGAACGTGATCAGCATATCTGATAATAGACTTAAAAATTCAGACTGACATCTTCAGTATTTGCTCAACCATGGGCGCAGAGGTGTTGAATAGTCTGTGGAAATCCAGAGAAAGGTGTGAAGAATATCACCGTGATACCTGAATCCGTCGAAATGGCAGAACCTCAAGTCATCAGTGAATCACAGGGCTATACCCAGGTGGTGCCTCAGTTGGCAAGCTAAGCTGGATTATAACTTTCATAACTGAATCGTAACTGGAGCTTATAGATAACTAAGATAACTAAGATTACTGGGTTATAACATGTTACAACTAAGCTAAATAGAGTTTATGGAGAATATATCCATAGATGGGTTCTACATCAACTTAGCTACTGGGGGAGAACCACCTTGAAGGACTTTGGGAAGTCCAGAAGATGCGCCATGACAAAAGGTTGAGGAACTGGCCCATAAAAACAAACATCGAAATGGGACATCCACCATTAATGTAGACCATTTTCCCGGGAACTCATGGATTTGTCCATCCCAATGTTTTTTTCGGTGTGTTAGCCTCTGGTTATTTAACGCAGCAATGAAAACCCATCATTTTTACAGTTCCATACATAATCATAAATAATGTTTTCTTATGGGCCATTTTCCATGGCTGCAAGTTGCAAACCATGAGCCATACCAACTACATGCAAGTTGTAACCCAAAAGCTTCAAATCAAATTCTAGCGTCCCACGGGCTCCAGATCAGGCCAACGAAACGCAGCTCCAGTGGTCCAAAACCGTGCAAAAGGGCAGCGCCGCATCGGTTGAAAGATGTTGAAGCTCCGAACGACTCCAAGGGGGTAGCCTGAACTAAGCGTCTATAATTATTGGATATAATTGGCATTGTATAGTCAGGATGAATGGTTTAGACCCTAGCCCCAGCATATACGTGCTTTATTTCCTATTGTTAAATGATTGTCCCTCAAAACAAATCCAAAAAAATAGTGTATACACACAAATGTTCAATTCAATCTACAATATCCACATGCTACATCCATTTAAGGTGATTGATATTCAATTCTCAGTTCATGACTTCAATCGAAGGATTGGTTTAAAGGATTTTAAAGAAAACTCCGAAACCACAGCTGTTCTGCCGTGGAAACCTGCGGTTCCGCTTTCCTTTTTCCTGCCGTTCATGACTGCTATGTAAAGTGGGACCCCCAGTCATGTTTATTAGTCTATAGACCCCATTACTGTAAATATAAGTTATTGTAGTGTTATAAACCATTGTTATTGAAGTTATTTGATGTTATTAAGACTTAGCGTAAACGGGGGCCCCACTTTGTAGAAAACCGGTTGATTTTTGACACCTCCGAGGCATGATCGTCACCATGGTGGAACTGAAGCAATCGGATTTCGTGCACTTGGCTCCTCGCCGTGAATCTTGCGCATTGCGCGCTGGGAATAAGGAAGACTGCGCCGCCAAAAAGCGGTTTTCGTTGAGTGCTCAAACATAAAGGAGGATGGGATTGATACGAGCGCAAGTCGATATGTTTGGTCCTTGTTGATGCTAGTGTGATTGTAGATTTGACTCAGCAATGGAGTTTTGATCACCAAATATGCGGGGATATTACAGTATATACATGATGGCTGATGGATGGTGGTTTAGGTATGACATGGGAATATTTGTCACCACACATGGTGATTTTTCATGGTCCTACCAAAACCATGGTGGATTTAACCAGCCATACTGGGGACACAATTGGGAAGCAACCCAAGTGAAGGGGCCCTTTTGAGCAACCAAACTACAGTACATGTTTCTTGGCACAGTAGTTTAATGTGTGTTGATTTACTAACCCCATGAATACTATATATACGGCCAAACACCTCGTCTTGCCCGCGCCTGTTGGCCCGCCTTCTTCGTATGAGCTGAAAACGTGGTAAAAGAGGGATATTTTAGCACTATGGTTAACTTGATGTTCTAGATCAGAACGCGCAGCCCAAGGACATGTGTGGGTTCGTTCCACATCGTCATCATCATCGTCATCATCATCATCATCATCATCATCATCATCATCAATGAAGATCTGCAATGAATATAGAAGTTTACCGGGGTGGGAGAATTAAGCCCTTATTGAACTTATTGACGATCTTTAATGAATGTAAAAGTTTACTGGGGGTGGGAGAATTAAACCTTTATATATTGAAGATCTTCAATGAATGTAGAAGTTTAACTGGGTTGGGAGATTGAACCCTTATTGGAGATCTTCAATGAGTGTAGAAGTTCAATGGGGGTGGGAGAACTAAACCCTTATTGAAGATCTTCAATGAATGTAGAAGTTGAATGGGGGTGGGAGAGCTAAACGCGTATTGAAGATCTTCGATGAGGGTAGAAGTTCAGTGCGGGTGGGAGAATTAAACCCTTTTTGAAGATCTTCAATAAATGTAAAGTTTAACGGGGGTGTGACTTTTACATTCCCTAATGCCTTTGTTGATCTTCCCAAGACAAGAAGGGTGTGGGCGAAACGGGGTGCTTGCGCGTTTATACTATATAGTTATACAATGTTATACGTATCATAGACCATCATAAACCATAGTTGTTGGAGCTGTAAACCAACTTAGCTATCCTTTGAGGGGCCCACTTTGTAGAGTACATGCCACCCGCAACAGAAGAATTGCGGCGTCAAAAAAGTGGCAAGATGCTTCACGCCTACATCCCCCTGAGATCTCAATTTGTTTATCAATCCACTCACTTGTAGATGTATCGAGCATAAATCCTAGGTATTGTGGGTGTAAAGAACTTTTCGGGCCCCACACGACGGGGGAGACCCTTGTTCCTGAAGCTCAGGTTGGTTATTTTGTTTGGGCATTTTGACAACACCTCCAGAGGGATACCCAGCATTCAGTATGATGAGTTGGGAGGCCATGACACCATCCGGCACTCAAACATGGCAGAAAAACCACACCATGAATTCCATACTTTTCCATTCGGGATTGACCAGCTGGCAAACTGTTTGACTGCCGAAGAGTTAAAGAAAAATCCCAGTAGTTCAAATGTCCAACTCCAACTTGGTGTGTGGGGCCGGGCCGCATCATAGGCCTAAGCATGGTGATGGTGGGTCCACTGCAAGAGACGGTACTACAGAGATGCTGGGGGTTCTGCTGAGATTCGAACCAGCGAAGAACCTGCGTTTCATCAGGAGGGCTTTACCTCCTATAATCAGACATGGCAATGGATAATCCCCTAGAACTTGACATTGAAGTGGAAACATCGTCTGCGATTGGGGGATTCTCTAGTGCCATGTTTGATTCCATGAGGGAAAGCATATATAAACAGTTCTTTGTCCCAAGGAACTTCTCAAAATGGTGGAAACACTATTGAATGGCAATGTTTATGGGAAAATGATCACGATTATGAGGATGATGACGATTATTATGACAATGATGATGATTATGATGACGATGGTGTTGGTGGTGGTGATGATGATGGTGATGATGATCATGATCATAATGGTGATGATGGTGGTGATGATGATTATGATGAGAATGAGGAGGAAGATGGTGTTGATTATGATGTTGTCGATGATGATGATGATGATGATGATGATGATCGGGATGAAGATGAGGATGACGAGGAGGATGAGGATGATGATGGTGAGGAGGAGGATGATGAGGATGAAGATGATGATGATGATGATGGTGATGATGATGATGATGGTGATGATGAAGATGATTTTGATAATGATGATGAGGAGGAGGAGGATGACGATGATCATGATGGTGGTGATGATTATGATTATGATGATGTTGTTGATGATGAAGGTGATGATTATTTCTTGATGATGGTGATGATGATGATGATGGTGATGATGAGGATGGGGATGATGTTGTTGATGATGATGATGGTGATGGTGATGATGAGGATGAATGATGAGGTTAATGATGATGATGATGATGATGATGTTGATGATGATGATGGTGATGGTGATGATGAGGATGAATGATGAGGTTAATGATGATGGTGATGATGAAGATGATTTTGATGATGATGACGATGATGCTGATGATGATGATGAGGAGGAGGATGATGACGATGATCATGATGGTGGTGATGATGATGATTATGATGATGATGTTGTTGATGATGAAGGTGATGATTATCTTTTGATGATGGTGATGGTGATGATGGTGATGATGAGGATGAGGATGATGTTGATGATAGATGATTATGATGGTGATGATGAGGATGAATGATGAGGTTAATGATGATGATGATGATGATGATGATGACGATG